TGAATGGGGATCTCTGATTCTCGCAATTTATAATATCGATGCACCTCAACATCATCTCTAATAAGTACATTCAAACGAAACATACGTCCTAATACCTGTATTCCTATAACACCAAATTGTCCCTTTTCCAATCTGCGACTTTTACGTGCCCAGAACATCCCGGTCGCTGTAGTTATTGGGATGGCAAGAACTGTCGTCATGTGTACAATGGACGTAGTTCGTAGACCATTAATATTATGATAATGACGATTATGGCATTTGTCTGATACTTTACAAGATCTCTTGTCACGTTATCTCTGTGAATAAAAGATAATATTTTTCTCACGTCGATTCTCCCTCGACGTAGAACTTAACTGCGTATTAGATAAGGTATCAATCGCTTGATCAGACGTACCTGAATGATTTAGAAACATCGCAATATCCTTTTTCAATAAACTGATACGATTGTTTCCAATCCCTGCAAGAAAATACATGAGAACGAAGGGCCTTTGAGATGGTGTAGTCCATGAGACCGGATTAATTAAACTTCTCAAGAATGGTTTAAGGCCAATGTCCTTTGACTCCGAAGTAACTTCCAATCATATACTGTTATTTTTTTTTCTTTCTTTTCTCACATTCAATAAAATCAATCTCTTTGATTCTCTGATGGTCCATTATTGACTCTTCATCACAATCAACTCGCTCTGTCGCTGCTTCATCTTTTGAAGAAAACTACATTCTCTGATATCTCAGAACCTCCATGTAGATGTAAGTTTCACACCGCATAGCTTTACGATAAGCGTCTTCAGTAATCCTCGGAACTTCAACCACAAATAATGGACAAACAAGCTTTTTCTGGGAGCGTGCATTTGAAACTTCCATTCTGTCGTCTAAGATTGTCGAAATTTCTTGTCCTAAACTTGCGTGATCAACTGGATCTCTTCGTTTATAACGCTGTAACAGGTGTTTTTTTTTACTGCGATGTCTATATTCTTTTAAAATACTTTAAACTGTATAAAAAAATTCGTGAATTTCAGCCAATCATGCAAATGTATAGTCCCAAAATATACCACTAGAGTTTTTATTGGTTAGTATCACAAGAGCATGTGGCAAGAACCCAGGATCACCATCAAAAAATCTACGGACACATGACTGCAGTGGGTGAAATTATAGAAGCAAAATTTAATTTATACTAAATTTATGTTAAACTCATATATAACTAATCACGTGATAGTAAATTTTTGATGGCGATGCTGGGGAAAATGCAAGTTTTTGAACCGATTTTTAAACTCAGATACATTGACCGTATACGTAATATCATGCTCGAAATTTCCAGAAAGACTACGTAATAATCCGTGATAAGAGCTAAAAGCGATTCATACATATTTTTCTCTCTATCATTTGTTTTCAAATTAATCAAATCAACCAACTCTCCAATCTTTCAACATGAGTATCAAAGTAGGAGGATTAGTGGTGTCTCGGGCGACTGGACAAGCCTCCCAAATTGATATGGTATTCAACTAGTGTTTATTGAGTAATCAGCGTGGTGGCTAATGGTCACAATACAATAGATCTTTACGTATATTAACACGTCACTGGAAGCATTAACGCCAGAGCAAAAAGAAGATGCTGTCAACATCAGTCTTTCTGCCTACGATCTGGATAATGTCAATATCCGTGAAGCGATACTCGAAAAATATGACGGCGAGATAATTGAGAAAGACTTAATTATCAAGGTGAGTTTCGCCATAGCTTATACACCACAATATGTATCGTTTATTAATTGCCAATATCATATAGCGCGATGGACTAAATAAGACTAGAATTCATCTCGATTTGGCAACTTCGGCTATGATGCAAAATTCAAGTTGGGCTGTACACGTTGGTGGGACATGTGCGATGGGAAGCAATAGTTTTCGACCTGACGTTGGCATTTGGTTTCGGATCCCAACATTTGCACAAAGATCAAGACCCGTTGCAAACAAATGCCCGCCACCGAACGTATGGATAGAGGTAATTATATTAAATTTTTTCTGTAAGAAAAAAGTAAAGTTTTGCTTATCAAATTCGAATCCACCTAGGTTTTCTATGACGAAGATCCAGATCGTCGCAACGCTTTATCTAAAATTAGCTTTATTCGGGAATGCACGACCAATGTTGAATATGTCGGAATTGCTATCCCACTCGCGACCAACCCTTTTCCCCAGAACGAAAATCCAGGAATAACTACGACACCAGCAACTCCATGTGACTATCCTCCTAGATCCCCGTATATTATCCATTTTCCGAATAGAGGTAGCAAACTGGTTTATTATAGAATGAATTGGAATGAGCACCTCGATCTAAGATGTCAGTGGAGAATTGAATTCAACATTGTGCTTAATGCAATTTCTCAACCATAGGTGTAGTCGTAACTTGGAATTCAACATTGTATTGCATTATATTGCTTATTTCACCTGATGTATTGAATCAGAATTATCGCCTTCAATACTTGACTCTGAATAAAAAGTATCAATTTACGGATTATTCATATATATTTTGCTTAGTGATTAAACTTGAAATAAATAATATAATCGTGTCAACACGTCACATCCTCGACAATGCTTTATACTTGATTGATATGCTTAAGTTTAATGAGTAATAACACAGTACTGGATAATCCAACCTCGAAATCTTCATTGTATTTTTAACTTTCTACTATACGCGATGACAGCTCTTCCAGTTGATGCACCTATCTTCCTCAAGAATAATTTTTACAAAGAGCTTAACTCTATTGTATAAATAAGTAAGTATTAATGAAACAAGCCGTTTATCATTATTCAAACATATAGACTAATCAAATTCCAACACGCCATACATTCCGTCATTATTGTACGAGAACTAGAAAAAGTTTTTAATTAATGAAGATTTGGTGTAGCCGTAAGGCGGCAGTTTTCTTCGTGAAAAAGCAATGCTTGCTAGTATTACTATTACTATAACCGATTTTAACTCAATCAGATGTCTCCAAAATAATTATTAAAAACATCAAATTTGCATGTCGCAATATGATGATAGTACCTGTAATACAACGGTTACTATATCGCGAATGCAACTTTATAACAACAACACAACGTTCAACAAATTGTCATACAATAAAAAAAAACACTCGTTATTTAGATTTGTTGCAACTTAAAATCATAAACCAGTCAAATTATTAACACATGATAAGAACGAGAACTTAATCATAAGTTGGTCCATTAATTTCAAGTGTTGGCAAACTCATTTGGACATCACACGGTGATGTAGAACTTGACCAATCTGTCATAAAGCGGGATTAAACTCATACAGAAGGCTTGTGTAATAAACCGGAAAACTATTCAACGTCTTGAGTCACTAAATTATAATACAATAGACGATGTTAATATTTGATCCCATTTATGCATCAATGTGTTATCTTCATACCTGCAGCTGAATCATAACTGTTTCTCGGTTTAGGCAACTCTCCAGTAGGTAAGAGCTTACTAGAGTATTTACTCTCCTTTTCGAAACGTGATAAAGATTTTACATCTGTATAATAGATAGTCTTCCACGTGCTGTCATTCATCATCCAATTAATAAGATCGTGAATATTCTGACAAAGTGTCAATGCATCAGGACGCTTATCAGGATCAGCATCACAACACCACTCGGCAAGTTTCTTGTATTCCTCTGGTGCGGAATCAGGCATCGATGGTCGTAGTCCGCTAATAATATCGCATACTAAATCTCTGTCGAACTGCCTATCTCTAAAAGGCGGTTCACCAGTAGCGATCAAATACATAATGATACCAAAAGAATATATATCTGATTTCTGAGTAAATTTGCAAGTATAAAAGACTTCCGGTGCAGTAAAGGGTAAAACGCCTCGGATAGTTGAGTTTGACTTGCGCGAATTCACCGATCGCGAGAGACCAAAATCGCATATTAATGATTTTATATCACGCGTATTGGCACTGTTCTTATGCATGACTATGTTTCCGCCGTGAAGATCGCAATGCACAAATCCTGCAATATGGATAGTCCACAGATAATATATAATATCATGCAAACGGAGTAGTTTATCCGTCCACGTCAATTTGTTAATGTTTTGATCCAAATAAGACAACAGACTACCGTTGTTAGCATATTGCATAACAATCATGTATTCTTTTGTTTCTGGATTTTCTGTGATCCCATAAATCTTAAGGAATGAACCAACGCCCAAGCATTTGGCATGATTTCTGAGCTATTAAATAAAAAATAAATACAGAATCAGATTTAATATTAATATCATTTTAATTAATACCTGCCTCAGTCTACTTATATTATTGCTTACCTCTGAAACAAATAATTCCGGGGTCTGATCAAAATTCTTAAATTGTTTGAGCACAACAGTTTCTTCTTTACACTTGGCAGTGTATACTGTTCCGTAACCACCACATCCGATCTCTTTGAGTTCGTAAAAGTCGCCGTACTGCATGTGCTCAATATTCACATCTTCGTTAAGTCGTATAAATCTATTCAATAGTACATAAATGTCATAGTAGAACACTAAATAGTATTCCCGAGTATACGGCTCCTGAGTGATACCAATTATCCAAATATTATCTGGTGTTAATATCGTTGGGTATTCCTTAATCAGCTATTTGAATAAATGAATGCAGGCGTTACAACAAAAAATCAATAATAACACGTTATACATACGTTAATGACACTATTACTGTATATTAATATTAATACGTGAAATAATTTACCTGATGAAAATCAAATAATCGATCGTTTTGTTTGTCAACTATCTTTTTGAGTGTTACGCGTGTCAATTCATTTGTATTCGATTCTAACCATTCTGCTGTATGTGTACATCCATGGCGTAATGATGTCATCTCTTGTACGTTTGTCAATAGAGAGTATTCTATCCATTGTAAATACACATCATTTACGTTATTTACATTACTCCATGACTCTATAATAAATGAATCTAAAGACTTGTTGCCTGTTGTCCAATCAGGTCTTGGTGTTTTACATTTATAACAGAATGTATTTATCTTGGGGTTTAATCGCTCTGTACATGCCAGGCATAATCCATGTTCATCCTCTTCTTTCATTATTATTAGAAAATACGCCGGTTTATTGTATGTAAATCCAATGGTAACCCAAACATTCGTTAAAAGAATATCTGGACGCTCACCACACAACTAGTGAGTGTTATATAATACAGACGAATCAATAATGATTCAAACAAGCATGACGCATAAATAAATAGTTTACCTTGGCGTAATATAAATCAGATGCGTCTTCAAGTGGAATCAATCTAACATAAGCAATAGGTAGACCATCACACAAGCGTTCATAATTATAATCAATGCAATCAAATGGAATCCATTCCAAATAGGCGTGATTTGGTGAGTTCGTTTGTACTTGAGATGTCTTAATGAGCTCATCGATTTGCGTATTGTTGCTAGTCCATCCATCAGATAATTGTTTATGACCGCAAATGCACCATACGGGACTACATCTGAGTATTCCACATGCGGAGCAGAATCCATATCGAGAATAACTGTAGTAAAAGCACCTATCAGCAACCATGTAATAGTTGCCATCACGTTTGGTGAAACCCTTTATAAATTTGTTACGATGACTAAGCCATATCGCATATCTTCTAAAGTTGTCGTTAGCTCTATTATATTTATGTGTTGGAAGCGAGTATATTCTGGCAAACTCATTCACGAGCGTTGGTGTACATTCTTCGTTGCTTCCAAGTAACGTTATTATCGTTTCACACATTCTATGAATAGCGTAGTAGACGTTGTCAATTCGAGTTGGTCTTATGCCGGCAATTTGCGAGCAAGGAATCCACTCGAGCCTTCCATGTTCATTTGATAAGGAGGCTTGAACCAAGCTATGAATTGCTGGATTATTCGTTAGCGGCATATTATAATAATCATAGATTGATTTATCAAAATCTCGGAAAAACACTTATTATTGTGCTACATTATCACATGATAATTTTTACCGATTATCATAAGTAATAGTAATAGCATATTAATATTAATATGTATTTTCTTGTAACTGGGCGCTTTCTCTGATTCTATCAGAAGGATATTATATGAACACTTATTGATGCATACTAATTTATGACAAGTCAAACTACCCTTGGATTATTTCAGGATCGAATATTACGCGGATAATTGTCTCGCACGAGATGCCTTAGTTTGGGGACCTCTCATTGCATATGCTTGCGCGCAAAAATAAAAAAAGGGTTTATTTACTGTACTGGTTGGTGAACAGCCGCTTAGCGAACTACTCATACGCAAATTGTTACCTTTATATACTGTCATTTATAGATGTAATTTCATCTTTATCCTGTGACTTATTCCCATACATGCTCTATATAAATATTTGTTAGATTTGACAGTCTCAAGTATAATATCACCATGATTTAAATAGTTGATAAACTCGTACATAATATAAAATTAAACATAATCCAGTAGTCAACTACTCCTCTCGTGCATAAACACTCTTTTTTCGATTATACAGCACTGTGACGTAAACGATAAACTTCGGGGAATATCTAACGGTAATCGCAGCAATTGGAAGTGTATTGCATGTATGTGTATACGTTGTTGCTGATTTAGCATAAGCTACATGTGCATTATCATAATGTAATAATAAACTATTCTCTGCTGCTACAATAACGTAATTATTGCGAACAAGTATTTTGTAACAGCTGTTGGTTAATTATAGAGGCAATGCGTAATAATGAAGTAAATTTACGATTAGCTGCTGTCAAGTTATTAAAAATAATTAAACTACCGATAAGGGAGGAGATGTTTAGGATACGGTATTGAACTTTTAAACTTTACAGAATGGTGTATCACTATCATGTGTCTCAAAAACAGTAACATTATGCATCAACGAGCATGTTCTGCATTTACCTTGGTGCTCATAAATTGGTGAAATAATGTTAAACCAAATCAGTAAACATACTGTTACGTTACGTTAACAAGTAAATGTAGACACTTACCACGTAAACAAAAAAAAAAACAAAATTGCTTTACTGCGTTGTTCGTAATGTTATGACCATAGTTACCCATGTGTGAATGCAAAGAGCCAAATTTTATTATTAAAGGAATCGGATAATGACGAAGAATAGCTCGTATGTGGCCTGTAGCCAATTTATTGAAATATCAGACGAGTTTTGTTCGATCTAAAAAGTGTTATGCGGTCAATTGCGAATTGTCACCTGTTACGTTAATGATTTTTGATATCTAGTTTATTGCGACGTAATTTATTGACTGTAATTTTGAGTCGAAAAATAAGAGGCGTTCCTAGAAGAAAATTCAAAATATAAACACTGATGCAAATTCATTCTGTTAAATTAAATACAATAAGTGTGGGCGGCGGAAAGCGCATAGAATGTATGAAAATTGATACAAGAGTTGGCGATATGAACTATTAGTACTTCTTATTTGTCATTTGTGCGCAAATGCCAAGAGCCAAGAAATTATTGTCGATATTAAAAACTGCTTTGTTTACATCAAAGAGATATATCGATAACGCAATTTGGTTAAGTATAATATAAGGTATAGCAATAATACGATTACTTGAGAGTCCATTTTGGGGCATGATGTGCATGTTTACTCATTTTGGGCCATTCGTCACTATTTATATTCGCCTATTACTATTACTAATTTTATTGACTAATTGTTATTGTTTACTATCATCATTGTTATTTCAGACATTCGCTATTCACTATTTTCACTATTCCGGAATCTGTCGCAAGTGTTTGATAAGTCGCACAAATTTTATCGCACATCAGAAAAAAACTCAATTATTACTATTATAAGTGAACGCCTTCTGGTTATTACGGATAATTAATTCTGTCAAATTAACTTGATAACTGTAGAAAAAAAAGATGAGCGATAGACATTAAATGGCATTTTCTCTTATTTTTAGACAAACACAGAAACCCAATACTGAAAAATTTTTTTCTAAAAATAATTGTATAATCGTGGTTCTATTTTTTCCTGTAAAACAAGTAAAAACTCATCAACAAACCATCTAGATTTCGGATCAAATAATGAAGGCAAATTTACTAATATGGTAATATTATACGGCTTTAAATAAATACAGTAGTTCCCAAGTTTTTATTGTTAATAACATTCAATAGTGCGTGGATATGTTTAAAAAAATTTGCTTCTATCATACTCTTGTGGTAAATTTTACTTCACGTATAATGGACAACTAGAGTTAACGCATACGTTATAGTTACAGTACAAGTATGTACTGGGACGCTTTCCGACATCAGGCCTAGCAATACAGCGCCAATTGATCCGATTTGGACAGAAACTTGAGAATAATTGTGCGATATAAATTTTTTTTGCAAAAAGTTTATTTTTATTACATTCAATTTGTTATATAAGAGGCCTGCTTCTCCCTTCGTAATATCATCAATCAACTCACACATTTTATCGCGTACAGTCAAGACACTTACACCCATACGCAATTTATACATTGGTGGCACTTATTTACAAGCAAAGACGGGAAAAAATGAAACTCCAATTGATTTTCGTATTTTTGACTGCCAGTTTGGTCGCTGGAGCCTTTGCTCAAATATGTAGTGTCCGTAAGTAACATAAAAACTTGTGAGTGTTCGTACTTGATGTAAAGGTATTTGTTTATATTAACAAAAACTTTCGTTCTTAGAATTGAGAACTAAATCTGGTACTATTATTACTACTACTGGAAAACCTGGCTGCCGTAACACTGGTCTTACAGAACCCGTAACTATAGTCAATTCTGCCAGAAATACTTTTTATAGATTGTATAAAGGTGAAATGTGCATGCAACTAATTTTGAATAGCACTACTGGTGTCAGCAACTTTACTACTTCTCCGTTGCAAGTCTTGTCTGTCAGAACTAATTGCACCCAATCAACATAAAATAGTAGAGATAGATATTATTAACATGGCTTTTCTTATTACAAAATAAAATATTAAACGTCTATTAAACTATTTGTTTATAAAATACGGCTCCTCATTTTCCGAAACCCCGAATTACGATTTCAACATGGATAATGTTATCAATGAAGCTCTCGAGCAAGTAAATTTTGGCAAGCTCCAGGATAAGCAAGGCTCTATCGTTAAGCGACATCTCGGGATGGTAAAACCGGAAAGTCATGGGCCAGAAGCATCAATTAAACCCAGAGATGGCGCTGCTGGACTTCCAATTCCAGAGCTTGAAAAACCATGGACGAATTGGGCGCATACTATTACCTTTACACCAAAGTATACTTTCCGTCCACAGAACCTCGACCAACTGATTGCCTGCGTAAAAAAAGCGAATAATGAGAACTTAAAAATTCGATGTGCTGGTGAAGGCCATAGCTGGAGTACGATCTCAGTGACACAGAGTTGTTTGCTATTGATGAATGATTTGACAGAAGTAACGGTAGAACAACAATCAAATGGTGATTGGGTGCTCCATGCAGAAGCTGGTAAGCAACTTGTAAAAAAAAAACTAATATCACTTTTTTGACTAATACAAGTATTTGGAAATTAGGTGCGTCTATTTCGAAAATTGACAATTATCTCAGAGAGCATAATCCACCGTTAGCAATGGAGTCTATGGTTGTTCTTACAAGCATTACTATTGGCGGGGCTATCGCACCGGGATGTCATGGTGCAACAACAGAAGCAAGAACGCTTGCAGAACAGGTTGTTGGCTTGGAAATAGTTACTGGTTCGGGTGAACTACATAAGTTTGTAGATGACCCCAACAACCCGGATGAGATGAGTGCAGCGCGTGTCAGTTTAGGTAAGCATGACTACAAACGTGAAAACTTGTATAGTGATTAATGGTATATAACTGCATTTACTGTTTTCTACAGGACTATTGGGCGTCATCTACAAAGTGTCTTTCCGTGTCAAGCCAATGTTCAAACTTCGAATGATAGACACGCTTCCGTTGGTATCGCAGTTTACCAACAAATATCTTGAAAATCTTGTAAAAAACTCTTTTGGAATTGAAGTATTTTATTGGCCGTTTAACTCCTCACGTATGTTCATAACACATACTCGATCATGGAAATCATATCTCTTGCTAATAATATTTAATGTTATATACAGCAACAGGAAAAAGGGATCCTTCGAAAGATAAACTATGGGTAAAAACATGGAAACTTACCAATGATAACGTTACTTACGGTGCACTTGAGACCACCTTGTATCATCAAGCCCAAAGCATTTCTATGGTCATAGCCAGCGCAGTTTACCAACAGCTTTTAACACATCCAGACCGCACACCTTTTATTACTTACCTTGGAGGCAAACTTAGGCTGGCAGAACGTAATAATGTGTGGTTAGCACCGGATGCAATTCATTATCAGGCCGGCATTGATAGTGTTCTTTCCCTCGATACGGAATTTGCTATCAAAATTGACAATGACTTTACAAATGTCATTACCGAATTGCACTACATTATTGACAGAGTACGTATACCTTTATTATTCTAAATTTCTAACAGAAACAGTTTATGTGAATATTGACGCGCGCGCTATTTTTGTAAATACTGTAGATTGATTATTACCAAAAACAAGGAAAATTTCCCATAAACTTAGTCGCCGAATTCCGAATTCTGAAAAGTTCAAAGGCTCTCCTGTCAACCGCATACGATGATGATCCTGACGCCTATTATCTCTTCATTGAGGTTCTTTCTATTACGAAAACGCCAGGCTATTATGAGTTTGCTAACGAGCTTGGTACACGGTGGATGAAATTGTACAATGCAAGGTGAGATACATGTACACAATTAAAGTACTATGACAAGTTATTGTCAATACAATGCTTACGCCAAATTATTCTATAAATTTTAGACCTCACTGGGCCAAATATTGGGAAAATATTCCAAATATTAAAAGCTACCTTCATGAAAAGCTGCAAAGTAAAATCCAAAGATTTGAGGCGGTTCGCAGAAAGTATGATCCAACAAACGTGTTTTTCGACAACGCTTCCCTTCGCCGGGTATTTTATGGCGCCTAATTTGAACCAAAACTTCATTAGATGGTTGTATTACTCAAATAGACTGCAACTTAATCGGTCTAATAGTATGTTTTATTATTCCAATATTTAACTAGTCTAACTGTAAATACATCAAGTTATTCAATAAAGAGTCTGAATTTAATTTTGGAACCGATAACAATTATTATAACGAGAGTTTTGCACTGCATATAATAGTTGCCGATCAGCCCCACATTAATTGATTTCCGAAATGGGTTAAATTAGCGCTGCCCCTTGCCTATGAGGAAAATTGAACAAACTTTACTTTGTTTATAAATAACTTTGATTCTTCCTACTGCAAGAGTAGTGGAGAGAGCGAAACTGGCCGTTCGACATTTTTATTTCTCTCCAAGAAACTTAAAGAAAACTTGCTTTTCAATGTCTGAAACCTTTTTAGTAGATTAAAAACTTTTAAACCGCAACTTTTACCTTGCTTCGTCTGCTCTATTATTTTACGGATTAATTTTTTTAAACTCTTTATATAAAAGCCTTGGATTTGAAGACGGGTATTTTATTTCGAGCTATAGATGTCCTGCACCAGGTGTATGGTAATTGGGCAAGTAACCCAATGATGTCTTTTTTAGCAAACATCCATGCTAGTTTGCGTCAAAGAATTCACTTAGAGTATGACGGAAAGTGTTATTATAGAAGTTTTATGAATAATTATGTGGTTGACTTATATAATAATAAGCAAAATATATCGAATTTATTTATCGATAACGATAATCATGAAGAAAGACAAAATAAATAAAAAGAGGAGAAAACGGGATACAAAAATAATAATAATTTAACACAAAGACTTAGTAAAATTACTTCCTAAACGTTCTCGCAAAGCCTTCGCTTTTGAATATATTCAATACATAGTAATATTCTGTAATAATAAATTAAGAATGTTACATGATAATAAAGGTTTGTTAAAGTCTCAAGAGATTATACTCGTCAGATTGTAGCTATTGCACAGGCGTATAGTACCATAACCTCGGAAGAAATCGAAACGAATTTTGGCATAATATTGCAGATGTTGTGTCTGAGTTCAGGACCTGTCTCAGTCCAGAACCCAGTCACTCAGTCCAGAACTCAGTTGTCTCAGTCCAGAACCCAGACACTCAGTCCAGAATTCAGTTGTCTTAGTCCAGAACTGAGACAGGTTCCCAACTGAGGTACAACACAGATAAAATCAATCAAGAGCATAATACTAATACTACTTATACTATGCCGATCAATTAGTAAAACATATGAAAAATCTATCTTTTCAAAAATCTGTATTGGCGTTATTTACTAAGTAAACGACAAAAATTTTACATCGTTATGAAGCTAATTAACTGTAGTTTTCGAACAAAATACTGATAAATTTACGCAGCTTATCATAACGAAGCTGTAATCTGCTGAAGTGGCATGATATATGTTACACATACATTTCATATGATTTACATATGTGTAACATATACTAACACTTTGGCGGATAACAGCTCCATTACAACAACTTGCTCAAATTTATGGGCATTTTGTTCAAAAACTACAGTTAATTAGCTTCATAACGATATAAAAACTTTTGTCGTTTACTTAGTAAATAACGCCAATACAGATTTTTGAAAAGATAAAATTTTCATATGTTTTACTAATTGATCGGCATAGGTGGCCCTAAAATTTTGGCAGCATAGTTGAAAGCTAAAAAACATACTCGATCTACAGTCAAACCTCTTTATACCGATACGAGTGGCACCGGCCATTTGCATCGGTATAACGAATTTATCGGTATAATCAGAGGCCCTCTTTATAATGATATTGTTTATGGAAACCTCATTATATCAGTATAACAAATTAAATAATAATCATATCTATTTTGAAATAAGGATTTTTATTTCATCACATACTTATGAGTTATCCA